CCGCCCTATCGGAGGGCTCTTGATTATGCCTTTATCACAATAAATAGGGAGGAGTAGATGCAATAGGCAACAATAAACTACAGAAGAACTCAAAATTGATCGCTGCATTTAAGTAATGCATTAATATTTAAGCTTACCTTTTCAAAGTTCAACGATAATTCTTCTGCCGCCACTTAATATAAACACGGTTTGATGTACATTGCTCCTTAATTTCCATACAAACAATTATTTTTATTTAATGGGTGACTCTCGCTGGATTTCGCAATTAATTTGGATTATTCCCAAATTTATTTCCAATCTATAAAAATTGTTATCGTGCAAAAAAATTTGTCGCAAAAAAAATCAAGTAAAAAAGTTGCCGAAAACAATCGCAGTAATGAAAACTTGGGAATCCAAAATTTCAGGATTGCGGGTCTGGATCCGACCCCCGAATGTTGTTAATTTTCTCACGATGTTGACCTGATTTCAAAATGGTATATGTTGGGCTGACGATTACGTTTAGAATGAAACACTGACGTCTCTGGATGTTGACTTTTATATATACATCTATATAATAAATGCGAATGTCAGTGAGTCACTGTCACACTTTTATATTTACATACGCTCTATCTCTGACATTGAGCACTTTAACCCATAAATATAGCATATATTAAAACCATATTTTATCATATATAATATAAATTTTTATATATGAGTACAAATTTTTAAAAAATTCATGAGAAAATGTAAAAAAAATTGTGACGGACGCGTTTCGAATTTTAAGACTTCATCAGACTAAAGTGATGTTTAAATCAACAAAAACATTACATTAGTCTGTCTGAAGATAAAACACATCACAAATGTTTTCGACTTTGTCATTAATACACACACACACACATATATATATATATATATATATATATATATATATATATATATATATATATATATATGTGGCACCTTGCATTATTAGAAATATTCATAGAAATATGATTTAATTTTTTTTACTCGGTTTACTAAACAGGTTGTTGATTTTTTTAAAACGGAAAATAATTGAGTTGAAAATAATTCACTAAGATTGTACTTAGACGATCCTAAGGAAAGAAGAAGGAAGGGGAAAGAGAGGAAAGAGAAAAGCAAAAAGAGAGAGGTCGAGAAATACAAAAAGCGGTCATTAACAAAAACATGAGTCAGAAAGATATCTTAGCTAGCATGTTGACCGAATTTTTAAAGACAATTGGAAGAATAGAATTAGAAATAATAAAAAGAAAGAAAGGGAAAAGACATGATATCAAAACGGGCCGCTTGATGAAAACCAGATATCGGTCAAAGCATCTAGCCTACTTTTGCGTAGAAAGACATCTTATCAATTTGGATAAAGAGAAATTTTTGGGAACAATGAAAACGAAATCTTAATCAGAGAAAAAGTGTCTTTTTGGGTTGAGGGGAGTGACCGGTGGAACGGTATACAGATTCTGACCTGTTAAAAATTAGAACCCCACATTGACGAGTGAAAGATGTTTTCAATTCAGATAAATTAAGATTTTCTGACTGCCGGGTCTGACAAAAAACAAGAGGTGAAAAAAAACGATTGTCTCAGATCACAGATGGCGACAATGTTCTTTCCTGAAGTCACAACTAATTAGCGGCAGGCTGTGTTGACAAAACCCAGGTGAGAAAAAGCCAAGATTATCATTTTTCGTACGTGCGAAAAAGGCCAACTTAGATTTTGTTTTTTTTAAAAACAAGAACGATGTAACCACGCCCGAACGGAGGAGAAAGGATGCTCGATCAATAACAATTGGTCGGAAACGGTCACGTGATCTGCAGAAAAGAAGAGAAAGAAATGCCCGATCAGGAACCATTGGTCGAAAAACGGTCACCTGACATACGAGAGACTAAGAGAGATGGGTGTGCACCTCCCCACAAAAGGCACTGTGAGGAAGTAGGGGTGAAAACAATAGCGATAATGAGAAATCAAAAATAATGCGACTTTTGGAATTATCGAGAAAACCCCTGACGCCGACAGACCCACCCCAGTTTGTTGCGGCGTCAATAAAAGCAGGACCCCAGTCGACAGAAATCAGTTGGAGTGGAGTTGCAGCTGGACCGCGGCAGGGAAAGAGCCTGAACGCGGGCATCGGGCCCGATTCACTCGCCCCTTTGCGGGCAAAAGAATCCTCAGACAAGAAATCCTTCCAGCCCAAGTCGAAGACAGAAGAGTTCAGCCCCGGACGGCAGCGAGAAGAGATCACCTCGGACGACAGAGAGTTGCGGCTGAGTCGAAGACAAGAGAACTTCCAGCCCAAGTCGAAGACAAGAGAACTTCCAGCCTAAGTCGACGAAGAAGAAGAAATACAACTCAAGTCGAAGAGAAGAATCAACTGCGAATGATCGATAGAAATTAGCCCCAGTGTCGAACCAAACCACACTCCGACATACACAATTCTAAAGAGTAGGCAATTCGAAATCTTTAGGTTGTGTGATAGAAGCTTGGTGCCATAGTCCACAGAGCGGGTTGGGAAATGAGAACAATTTTGTTTTATGTAACGGACATTAAGATATAAAGGGTTGTTACCCATTTTTTTTCATCAGCAATCTTTTTGTCTCGTGAGTTTATTTTCTCTTTTATTTGTGTTTTGCCACCCCCGTCGGACTCAACTTGTATCGGCCCCAATCCCTGCTGGTCCCGTCTGTCTAAGATCTAAACACAGCGTGGGTAGACAGACCGGAGATCGGTACAGTTGCTTTAGTGACCAGGTATTGGAAGCGAGTCGGGAAGGGCGAGGCTGGTGATCATCTGACCAAGGGGTTGGAGCGGCACGCTTGGACCCAGGAGGAGCGACCAGGAGGAGCGACGTCACCGTTGGCGCCGTAACCAAAGGATCCGACCCTGGGCCAGGTGTGTAACCGTCACATATATATATATAGTTCAGATGGTCTGGTCATGTCATCAGAATGAGTGATGATCGGATGACTAGAATTCACAGGTATAGCCAACTTTTTCATGGTGAGCGTAATCTAGGCCGTCCTTGCTGATGCTTCAAGGACAAACTTAAATACAATTTAAACGCTGCAAAAATCCCTATAGGGGGGGGTGTTGAACTCGATGTTGAAAACCGAGCAAACTGGAGAAATACCTGCTACTGAGGTGTAATTAACTTAGAAAACAATCATCTCATACATCTGAGAGAATTAAGAACCAACACTAAATCTTGAGACAATATATCAACCCATATGACAGTTAATCCTTCAGTATGCCCTTCGTGTGGATTTGTTTGCAAATCCCGTGCAGAATTGTTGTCTCATACGAAACATAAGCATAAAAGCTGAACTGAAAGACACTCATACGTCGTAAACGACGGCAGAGTCCATCATCATCATCATCATATATTTTTTACAGCAAAAATCGAAATTACCTCATGTTGAGGTAATTTTGTTTTTAACCGTAAAATATATATATATATATATATATATATATATATATATATATATATATATATATGGACTGTTATAATAAAGTCATTGAGCTCTCTGTGGATCACTTTTAATATTTGTTATTACTTGGATTCACCTGGATTATATACCAACGGATCTATTACCTGTATTATATATATATATATATATATATATATATATATATATATATATATATATATATATATATAAAGAAATATAATATTAAGATGTGCCATATTTATTTATCACAATATCAGTGATAGAGCGTGTGTAGATAGAGCCTGATGATTGCTTATAGCATGAAACAGGCTGTCGCCTCTAAGTGTTGATTTCTATGTTCACTTTTATATTTATATTTTATATATATATATATATATATATATATATATATAAACGTGTGTGTGTATGTATGTCTATCCATTTTCACATTGTCACTAGGGAGGTTATTCTTTGTGTATATACGTTGTTATCTGACACGGACAAATAAACACGTCCAAAACACTAACGTTCAAAGACCAGCTACAGACGTGTTTATACGTCGGTCCTGATTGTATTTATGCTCTTCAGAGATTGAAACGAGTCCAATTGTCAACTCATACGTCCGGTAGAGGTGTTAGCCACCGCTCGGTTACTTCAAGGTACCTCTGTTTCTTAGTTACTATATTCAAAACAAATTAAAAAAAAAAAAAAACTCTTCTGAAAATGAAATGTCTTTCCAAAAGTAATTGGCGGTGAAGAGGTTAAGTGTCCCCGTATGACTACTGCCGCTAGAAAAGCCACTAACCAAACGTTACTTTTCTGCTCGACTTTAATCTACTAGCATACTTGTAAATACCTCTGGATGTAATCCTTAGACAAAAGAAGGAGAAATATTGATCAACAATATATCACTGCTATTGTCACTTGAATGACTGCTTTTTTGTGTGATTGTGAATTTCCCACACTAAACTTTCCGTTGCCATTGGATTGTTTTGGAGTGGCTACCTTGTTTTTACCTTTGTTAGCCAAACGTCGAATATTCGCTGTGGGGGTAGTTTCTGTCTTGATTCTATTTTTTTTATTATTTCTTTTCCAGTTTTTTCTTTTCATTTTTTTTTCTTTCTCCATTTTTTTCTTTTACCTTTTTCTTCATCGGATTTCTTTATTTCTTTTTCTTTTTTGATTTTCTCTTTTTCAATTTTTCTTTTTGCTTATTCATTTTCAGCTTATTTTTTATTTATTCTTTTTTGTTTTGTTTTCAATCTCTGTTCATTATTTTTCTGTTTCTTTCTCTTTTTTTTTTTTTTTCATTTTTTGTTTGGACTGATTTTTTTATCACGGCTTATCAACCTTTTGCAGGTTATTTAAAGCCAGAATATAATTTTTATAATCTAAGAATTTATTGGAGATGATAACGATTAACTGATACAAGTTCTACTATTTAACCTATAGCTGGGGGAGAAAAAGTGGATTCAACGGCACTTGCACTTGAGCGAATATAACGAACCCGACTGGAACTTGAACCCGGCTCTCCGATTTCCAAATCCCACCCGTTATCCATTACAACACCCGCCCACCCAATC